GTAAAAGCGTACCGGGCGCCTTCGGAAGTGTTTTGCTTCCCATTCTTTTGAAGTCCCCTCTTCATTCTTGGTCTTCGTCCATCCGATACCTTGACTGACCGATACTGCACCATGAATTCTCGACGGATTCGGGGGACGCGGTTCGAAGAGAATACATCGGGAAAACGGTTTAATTGCCACCCAATACACTCGCCTTCACTCCCTTCCCCCAGTTCACGGGTCTCTTCAGATGGTATTGACCATAAGATCGAATGTGTTACTCCATGGTTACTTTACAGCTCTTTACGTAAGTAATGGCACTACCCCTATTTTTAGAAGAAAGAGCACTTTGAACCCTACCAGGTTTTAAGCTCATTACTCTCTCGTTTTTGAACGGATTGACATAATTCTGGGTGGGTTGGAGAGCGGGGAAGGTGGGCTTTCCATTCACATCCATTTCGAGCTCTAACTCCCCCAAGCTGGCGACCCTCAAATTCATACCTTTTGATTCAACCACAACTTGTTAATTGAATAACTTCATGGTTTTTCATTCAATTTCCTTAATTCCAGCCATGATGGAGTCTATGAATGGAGTCAATTGTCCTAGATTGTGCAGATTCTGTGAGATTTGTGCCACACTTGGGTTAGATCCAGTTCAACGGAAAATTCCGAAAGGCGTGGGAAGCTCGGTTGTCTTGGCACAAAGCCATTATGTCTTGTTCACGAAATCTTGGCTGGGCTTCCCCCTTCAATATGAACCCAGTTTTATGTAAATTGAATGGGAAATGAGCGAGTATTGGGGTTTCCAATGTGGGATTGGCACCACCAGGCTGATTTTTGGCATAGCTGAAAACTTTAAATTAAAGGGCAAGACCCATAGCAACTGAAAGCCCGCCTTACTCGCTCTCCAACCCACCCAAAATTATGACAATCAGTTCAAAAACGAGGGAGTAATGAGCTCAAAACCCAGTAGGGTTCAAAAATGCTCTTTCTTCTAAAAATAGGGGTAGTGCCATTACTTATGCAAAGAGCTGTAAGCGAAAACTTTAATAACATTAAGTTTACCGTTTAGTTGTCTTTGATTTCCTTTACCAACAACCAGCCCACTGCCTTACCCTTCACGAGCCCAAGAGTTATTCATAAATAAAAGCTTTAGTTTTTTTTGTGCTCAAGAATGTCCGCAAAAACGACACGTGCCGTGCACAAACACATGACACCTTTGTTATTTGGGGTGACATTTAAAAGTTTTTGTTTGTGCCCGGCCGCTTGCCGGCCACTTACCATCATTTGTTTAGGGCGTAAACTTCTTGACACCTTCTCTCACGTTGCTGTCATCTCGAGGATACCGCTTGGTTCCCTCGTGTCACCTTACTCAAGGTCCTCAGTCACGGTGTACGTCTTCACACTCTCCCTTTTGGCCCTCAACGGCCATCCGGCGATCCGCCCCAGAAAAATGTTCCCAAGCTCTCGGAGTATGGTTATACCCTCAAATCCTGGCACCTCTCAGGATACCAAGATTGTAGTATATCAGGTAAGCCGTGTGCTTTCTTTTTGGCTCAACAGACTAGTAACTCATTTCCCCAACAGGCCCTGATTGCATTACTCCAAGATGCCTGCACTATGAGTACCCTACCTCCGAGGTAAGTTCTTCAGGAGAGTACCGTACCGTACCGTGGCTGCATGAAGGTAATCAAAACCTTAGCGACGTCAATAGCTTTCAACTGGCTCTTGAAGGGCATCGGCATTCGATGTCCTCGGAGAGTGTTGTTGGCGCAATTGTGGACAGCCTGAAAAACCGCAAAATATTGTTGGAGGTAAGTGCACATTTCCCTTTGGGCACATCATTTTCTAAGGGTCTCCCGTCCCTAGGTTGCATCTCAACTCGGGCTCGCAAGCGATTTGAACCTCCGCACTGCTTTGGGGGCAGACGAGGGGCGTCTTGTCACCTTTCTAGTCTTTATACTGGATACCAAATCCATGGACGATAGCATCTTGATGCTAGAGGACGATTCCGCGCAGTGTTTCATGGATGTTGTTCAGGAGGTTCGGATATTTCTCCTTCCTACTTGCCTCTTAATTTGACAATATGCCCCAGGTCTTAGATAAGGGGTTCCTGATGGCACCTGAACACAGTTCGAAAGCTCGCCGTCTGATTCGCAAGCTGTCGGAATCATGTGAAAGGCTTCCTTCTGCTCTCTTTATCACGGGTGTGAGCGGACGGGAGGAGCATCCTACTTTCGGTGGGGGATTTGGAGATATTTATCGGGCATCATATGTCAATCAGGTTGTGGCTTTGAAACATATGCGTCATTTTCTGCGTGGTGCAGAATTACGACGCATTCGTTTGGTGAGTCTTTCACCCGCAATCTGAAAATTACTGACTAGGTAACTCAGAAATTTTGTCGAGAGGCCCTCCTCTGGAAGGATTTGCACCACCCCCATATCTTACCATTCATCGGGATTGACCGTGAAAGTTTTCCGGCATCACTCTGCATGGTATCACCTTGGCTGGAGCACGGCACAGTGTTGAAATATTTAAATGATCATGACCGGCAAAATGTGGATAAATTGGTGGGTCTCTTTTGTCATTTGAAGTCATGGTAGTAACACAATATCCCAGCTGTTTGAAGTCGCTCAAGGCCTTGAATATCTCCATTCCCACAACATAGTCCATGGGGACCTACGAGGGGTAAATTACTTCCAGTGGAACCAGCTCATATTAATCAGATCTCGCCGCAGTCAAATATTCTAGTCAACAAGGACTGGAGTGCATGTTTGGCTGATTTTGGCCTGAGTGGGTTCTCTGACGGCGGCAGCACCGGGCAAACTTCTTCGAAACGGGCAGGGAGTGCTTACTGGATGGCCCCGGAATTGCTCGCCCCCGAACAATTTGGAACAAAATTTTCTCGGACACAAGCAAGTGATGTCTATGCTTTTGGGTGTGTCTGTCTGGAGGTAAAACACCCATGCCTTGTGCACTTGTCATTTAACCTTGTTTAGCTGTACACAGGTCATCCTCCATTTTCAGAACTATCTGAAGTTGGGGCCATGCTGAAAGTGGTTGATGGCAAACGACCTCAACGACCATCCGACGGAACTCCCGTGATAACAAACCTACTGTGGCATAACATATTGACATATTGGGTGCAAAAGCCGGCAGCGCGACCCCTCACCAAAGTCGTTGCCAGAAATATGGCTTGGCCGGCTTCAGAGCAGCAAACAAGCACATCACCAAATCTGAATGGCGAGGTGCAGGGGCAGACGACCGATGGTAGTGTGATTTTATTATATGGTGTGTTTTCACTTTTTCTTGACACAGCAACTGACTAGTAGGGTATATTTGTTTGTTCATTTACCTATCTAGTCACAGCACTATATGACTACGAGGCAACGACAGATGAGGAATTTGACTTCCAGAAGGGTGATATCATTGCAGTGACTGCAGTGTCCGAGGATGGGTGGTGGAGTGGCGAGCTGATGGACAACAACCGGAGGGTTTCAGGGAGACATATATTTCCAAGTAACTTTGTGTCATCAGCAAACCTGGATGGTGGGCAGATGTGGACAGCCGGTGGGAGCAATATTTTGTGCTATGGTATGTTTTCACTTCGTTCTTGGTACAGCAACTAATTAGTGGGGTACATTGTTCATTACCTATCTAGTCAAAGCACTACACGACTACAAGGCAACAATAGATGCGGAATTCGACTTCCAGAAGGGAGATATCATTGCAGTGACTGCAATGCCCTATGATGGGTGGTGGAGTGGCGAGTTGCTGGGCGAAAACCGGAGGGTTGCAGGGAAACATATATTTCCAAGTAATTTTGTCACGCGTATACCGTGATTTTATACATCACCACACCCTTATGAAGCCAGTGATGTTCAACATCACAAGCTGTGAAATGGTGACCCTTTGGTGTACGAAGGCAAAGGTTGTATAGTGCGGACGTGGTGCATGGTGCACAAATGTCCTCAATATCCCAGAATTCTGGAGATCTAGGTAAAGTAGTTGATGGGGTTCGATTCCCTGCGTCCGCATGGCTATGATCTTCTGTTTTTCTTTCGGCCATGCCCTTGTGCTTCAGCACATACATCACAATGCTCGCACTGGAGAAAGTGCGCCACTGGTTGAATGTTGACACACCGGTTCAACTGGAATTCAAACTCAATTTGTTCCGAACTTTGCATCTTGTGCTTGGATTGAGTGCAAGACTTTACCTCGATTCAAGCACTCTACTGACATCTTTACGGAAAGTAAAATGAAAGGAGAAAGCGGACATGGCACATGGTTGTTAAATTTAAGCAGTGGTGTTCAACTCCCCGCGTCCACATGTGCCGGGATTGTGTGTATATTTCTCTCCGCCGCGGCGGTTCAACAATTTTGGCCGTGCTTACACCAGCCAACACCACAAACTCAACCACCCGTGCAACAGTATTCCGTGCTTTGGCGGGACTCATTCTAACGCCTTTAATTGGGAATTTTCCTAGTCGGCACAAAGTTCCAAGTTCAAGTGAGGTGCCTCCGAACCCATCCATTCCTGCCTTCTTTCCGGCCGCGGTGTAGTCCACAAAGAGCCGTACGTTCCTTAAATGTTGAACAGTTCGATTTCAATGTTCGGTGAGACAAAGCACTTTATTCTGCGGGTGTAAATGAAATGGGTAGGTTAATGGCCCTAAGTATGAGAGGAGGGAAGCGGATGTTGTGCACGGTGCCCGATTGCTCTCAGTGTTCTGTGGGAGAAGCCTATTTGAGGCAATCAAACGGGGTCGACCTCCCGCATCCACATGACGAAGACCAGTGACATTTATTTTTTGAAACAATCTCCTGCTTCCTAACTAAGACTTGCAGGTGAATATGCTTTATTTCCACTGGGGCTGCTCCAGGGAGAGGAGGTTTGATCTTAAGACGGTAGTCCCCACATAATATTTGCGCACCAACTCCCAAAGAAGCACCGGACTTTTAACACGCTGAGTCCAAAAAATGTAAAGTGGTTATCGCACCAAGGAAAACGGTGTAGAACGTGGACGTGGTGCGTGGTGCACCGCTGCTACAACTACTGGTACGCGTTCGGCCATCGTTTAATCAGCAGTTTGACGGGGTTCGATTCCTCGCGTCCGCATGTCGATGGCCGCGGAAATATTTTTCGCACACATCGGAGCATATCAAGAGCATATCTGCTCCTTTTAGTGGGCACAAAGGCACAAGTAATTCAAGTTTACCAAATCCTTTGAATTTGAATGCGAGGAGTTGGAAGAATATCGAGCATGTGCTGCCCTGAGGAAAGGGGTGTAGAAAGCGGATGTTGTGCATGGTGCACGACTGCCCACAATAATGTGTTTCAATCGACGCAAAGCAGTTGGTTGGGGTTCAATTCCATGCGTCCGCATCGCAAGAGTCTGTAAGAATTTTTCATGTCGAGTCGAGCAGCACTAATTCACTGCACTGGGACTGTATTAGAGAACAAAGGACAACATGAAATACTGCTTATCTACAAGGTGGTTGCACGATGATCAGTCAATTTCGAGTTCAACTTGAGAACTCGATTCAATGAATTGACTTCCTCCAATGTGAGGTATGTGAGATAGATTGGAGTGATTATGAAGTTGAGACATATGAGAAGGGAAGCAGATGTGGTGCACGGTGCGGTGCACACTTGCTATCAGTTGTATAACGGCAACTTTGAGGTAATGAAATGGGGTTCAATTCCCCGCGTCCGCACGTGGAGAACCTTTCCATGCTTTCTGTCGCCGGGCCTGACAACATTGATTGAGCGTGCTTTCGAGGCGCCGCGATGACATGAAGAAGCCGAATATCGCGGGTGCACCGTCTTCAACCCCAGATTGAACATGAACTGAAGTCATTGATTAAATTTGTAACCGAAAGCCGTGCACGGTGGAGTCAAAGGGAATCATTTCATCCAAGAATGAGAGGATAACGCGGATGTGGTGCACGGTACACAATTGCTCTCATTGTTCCATTCGCACGCCGACTCTGAAGCAATTAAATAAGGTTCAATTCCCCGCGTTCGTATGTTCGTGCCGGCTGCGCTGTACCTTTTTCTTTTTCTTTGTTAAAAAGTGCAGATCCAGGATCCTAGCTCCTGGGTGAGTATGGCCCTCTGCAGATCCCAATGTGGCCCAGGGAAGCTATGCAGGCAATCGGGTGTTTCACACACCGCTATTTGGGGCCCAACTTGGGTCCCAACTCAATGTCCAACTCCGTGAGTAAGTTCCAAAAAATGTTGAACACTTACTGTCCTGCCTTCTTGGGAGAATATAGTCTCCTGCAGATCCCAACGTGGAAAAAGTAAATTATGCATCAATTTTGTTGAACCACCTTGGGAATCAACTAAAAAAGAAACGGATTTAGAAGGGCGGGTGAGTTGAAAAAATGTTGACTGCTTACTGCACCAAGAGGTGAGTGAAGAATGCGGATGTGGTGCGTGGTGCACATTTGCCCTCAGTATCTTGACCGCGCTGCGCTAGCAACTTCGAAGCAGTTGAATGGCGTTCGATTCCCTGCGTCCGCATGTAGGGGTCGAAGTTTTCTGCGATTTTCTCTATGTTACGCCTGTCCAACCATTTGAGTACCCATAGGTTAGATTTCGGTTGCAGACTCCGCCAACTCACAACAATATTCCGCGCTTTGACCAACCGTGCGACCCATCACCCGCTTCCGCTATCCCCACTCGGCACTACGTTATCTGATCCCCTCCTCGACCACCACCAACCCAACTCAACTCAACGATGCCCGCACCCTCCGAATTCCTCTCGTGGGTCGACGCCTCGAAAGACGCGTTCATCGCCCGTCTGTCCCACGCCGTGTCCATCCCCTCCATCTCCGGCGATCCCGCCTACCGTCCCCGCGTGCAAGAGATGTCCGACTGGCTCAACGCCGAGCTCAAGAAAGTCGGCGTCGAGACCAAACAGGTGGATTTGGGGAACCACGTTATGGATGGGCAGACTCTGCCCCTGCCCCACGCGATTCTGGGGAAGATTGGAAACGACAAGAACAAGAAGACGGTGTTGATATACGGACACTTTGACGTCCAGCCCGCAGCCCTGTCGGATGGGTGGGCGTCCGAGCCGTTCACACTCACCACGCTCCCCGATGGCCGACTCGTGGGGCGCGGCAGCAGCGACGACAAGGGCCCGGTGCTGGGATGGCTCGCGGTGCTGCAGTGGCATCACGAGACGCAGACGCCCTTGCCGGTGAACTTGAGGTTTTGCTTTGAGGGGATGGAGGAGAATGGGAGTGAGGGGCTGGATGAGCTGGTGGAGAGGGAGAGGGAGGGCTAGTTTGGGGGCGTGGATTGTATGTGCATTGTGAGTCTGTTCTTTGTTATTCCATCGTGGATATTGACGCGCGCGCAGAGCGACAACTACTGGCTCAACACGCGCACGCCCGCGCTCACCTACGGTCTGCGTGGACTCGTGTACTTCAAGATTAATGTCTCGGGTCCGGGGCGGGACTTGCATTCCGGTGTGTATGCATCCTTATTTTCCTCCCGTTCTTTATTTCTGGCTTTCGCGTTGTTCGCGTTGTACCAACGCGCGCTTACCGCCTTCATTCCGGGGGTTCCCTGCGTACCCGCCCTCTCGCTGGTCGCGCGACGCAACGTGTACATTATCGCGGTATCGGCGCGTAATCGGCGTATTTACCTTCGCGCGTTATCAGTGGCTATCCGCGGCGCATACGCAGTTCACCGCGAGCCAGCGATTGCGCACGAGCGCCTCGACCCTGGCTTGCGTAGATGCGCTCGGCGTCTCCACGTCCCGGACGTCCGCGCGGGAAACTTTCGCCTGAATTCCTCCAGCACGCGCGCCTCTTTTGCCCGTGCAGATAATATGGTCCGCGCGGGACCTGTATCCCCGTAGCGGCGAGATGGGACGCGCTCCCTGCCTTTTTTTCTTCTTGGGTTTCGTCTTCGGTCTTGTTTTTGGTGTTCGCCTGTCCGGGCTTCAAGAGGCGTGCTGCTTTTATTGTGTGCGCCGTACGCGTACGCGCGCGGGGCCCGTATCCAGCCCGGGAGCGGGGAGTGCGGTAGGACGCGCTCTCCGCCTTTTCCTTTCTTTCTTGGGCTACGTCTTCTTTCGGTGTCCGCCTGTCCAACCGTTGACATTGGCATTGGCGCGGTCGCGGGGTATGGATGTGTCGGGGACCAGGACTCGTGCGGCGGTATCTGCGCGTCGTCGACTCGCATCGCGCATCTACCTTCGCGCGTTATCGGCGCATCTACCCACCGCGTCCGACGTACTTCCCCTCCACCCGTGGCGTATGGGCGCCGTGCGCTCTGCGTCTCCACATCCACGCCGTCCGCGCGCGCGAATTCCTGGGGCCAAGTTGGGGCTCTCAGCATGCGCGTTGCTTTTATTGTACCCGTACGCGCGCGGGACCCGTATCCATCCCCGGAGCGGGGAGTGCGGTGGGATGCGCTCTCCGCCTTTTCCTTTCTTCCTTTTCGGCCTGTCCGAGCGTTGGGGCGCCCGCGCTGGATGTGTCGGGCTCAAGGGTTCGCGCGGTGGTATCGGCGCGAGTTCGGCGCGATCCTGATCGTGCTGGTGCAAATGCCATCTGCGTCGCATCGTCAGCGTCGACCGCGGGCGGCGTGGGCTCGAGCTCACCGTACTGTGTTTTACATGCACGGGTTTTTTCCTCTCTTCCTCGCGCTAGTTTATTCCCTGCTTCTACCTTCCTTCTACCTTCTGCCAACACCCGATTCTGCCGGAGATTCCCTGCGTCCGCCCTATCTATCTACTTTGGCGCGGTCTCGGCGCATGAGCTGGCTTCGCGCGATATCGGCGCGTTATTGACGCGCTATCCGCGTGGTATGGACGGCGACTCCGCCGAGGCGATTGGCCCGTATTCATGTGCGGCTGGGAGTGGGGACCCGTTTTTTTACTCGGGATTCAGCGTTCGTGCGTGGGGTGCGGGTGCGGGTGCGGCCCGTGATGGAGGCGTTCGTCTCGTCGGTCGCGCTCCTCCTGAGCATTGACTGTACGATCGCGGGTGCGCGTGGGTCGTTTGCGCCTTGGCGGAGCTTTCTCTGCCTCGCTTTTCTTCCCTTATTTCGTTTCGTTTCCTTCCCCTCCTCCCACTCCCTCTCCCCCCTCCCTCATACTGATATACTTGATTCCCAGGCGTATTCGGCCGCACAGTGCACGAGCCCATGACCGACCTCATCTCTTTGATGAGTCGGCTCGTCGACGCGCAGGGACGGATCTTGGTGCCGGGGTGGACGATATGGTGTCGGCGGCGGGGATAGAGGAACGGTACGTCGTTTCATTTCTTTCTGCATCTAATTTTACTTGGGGGCGGAGAGACGGGGACACGTTCAATGGGGTTTTGACTTGCGTGCGGTGGATAGGGATGATGTGCGTCCGATCCCAGAGATGCTATCGCGTGTCCGCGCGCGCGTTCTCTAGGTGGATCGTGGCGTTGGTCGATCGCGGAGCATTCTAGCAGCTGGGAAGGCGCGTGCGAGTACGATGAGCTGCCATGACCCGACGGATCCTCCATCTCTCCCTCGGATTCTCCGTCGCGACGATCCAGCTGGTATCGGTGCCGATCCGCCTCCGCTGCGCCGCTGCATTTTCTCTCCATCTCGCGCGGTGCATCTTGGCGATGGCGCGGGGTGCGGGTGCGGGAGGCGTTTTCCTTTGCTGCCCGCGCGCGCGCGCTCGTGCGGGGCAAGTCGGTGGACAGACGGTGGGGTGGTGGTGCGCCCCCGCCCGCCACGCCTTTCCTGCGTCTTACGTCTTGCATCTTTCGCCCATCGCGCGTCCTTCCCACCTTTCTTCCCGTTCGTCGTGCTTCGGAGCGCCCTTTCCTTGCGGCGGTGTTTCTCTTTGGCGCTCGTGGGGCGCCTGTCGGTGTACGTGCCGGCTGGGGTGGGCTCTCTTCTCCGGGACCCGGATGGCGATAGCCCAGCTTTGGGTGTCTGGTGGGACCGCGTTGCTCGTCGTGGAGCGTGTACTCCCGCAGCGTATGCAACGGCTGCTTTCGACGCCGTGGGGGTTTGCGCGCTCGGTGTCGGTGCAATCGAGTATCGGCGTCGGCGATTGGCAGTATCGGTGTGGCGTCGGCGTCGTTGCGTTGCAGCCTCGCTCGGAGACTTGC